AGTTTTACGCCTTGCTTATATTTTAGTGTAAGCGACAAGCTCTTTAAAGAGTAAGAACATAGGTTTTTGTCTGCAGACACATGGAAGTGTACTATAAACCAAGTTATGTATGTCAGTTTCTCACTTAATTATTCCAAATATATGTTACAGTTAAGGTAATCTTACATTCTTACTTGCATTTAAAATGTATGTGCATTATATACATTGTAATGATATCAGTATATGCAAGTAATATATTCCTCTTTATGATTCATACCGTTACAGTGTTGAAACTCTTCTTGATTTAAATTCTATCTATGTTTACAGTTCAGATAATCTTTTATACATATATATATGTAATAGCAGTTGGAAAAAAGTATATATATAATTTGCCATTACATCAACATAATTTATCAACTCAGCATATTTCTCTGACCATGATTAGAAGTTCTTGTAGACTATAGAATACCATAATTCCTAAAAAACTTATTAACCAGTATTGTATATTCCTTAGCATACAATTATTTTCCGCAAATTGATGTTAATTATCTGTTTGTGTATTGTACACACAAGAAACTATGAATTCTTACGTTCTTTGTACATAACCTGTTTCTTTATTTTTGTTTATATTATGCTTTTCCTTTATGAATTAACTACAATGTTGACTGTTGTTTCTCTTTTCACCCTGTACCATATCAATGTATATAAGCCACCATTTTACTGTCTTATTATTGTGCTACTTAATTTAGATAATGGGTAATTCCTTATTGCAACATAGAGTGGCTATTGGCATGTTTTACCTGGTTTGTCACACAAACGAACATTCATCTTTCATACATACAAACCGTTTACACTGGCTTCTCAAAAATCTTAAAAATATGATATTCCAAGCTCACAGACTTGTCCCTAAACTTGGTATTCTGATTCACAAAATTAATTTATATAGCATTATTTTATCACTTTTATTAATCATTGCAGGAGATGTTGAATTAAACCCTGGCCCTGAACCGTAAAGTTCTTCTGATGCTTCTATTGCCCTGAAAACTCTGGATATTTTACATCTTAATATTCGTAGTATTAGAAACAAAATAGATTATTTGTACGCATTAGTTTCCGATTATGATATTTTGTGTTTTACAGAAACACACCTGGATGCAACTGTTACCAATAACTATCTACCTTTAAGTGATCATAGTCAAATCTATAGACCTGACAGGAATGCCTTTGGGGGAGGTGTAATGATATGTATATCTGATTCAATTAGGGCCCAACGACGTACAGATCTTGAACATCATAACCTGGAAGCAATTTGGGTGCAAATTGATACACCAACTCTTAATATATTACTGTGCAATATATATCGTCCACCAAATGCACCCACCAGTTTTTGGGCTAACTTTGAATGGACAATTGAAAAATCACTTGAAATCAGCGATAATATCATAATTGTAGGTGATCTCAATTGTGACCTCACCGCTGCAACATTATCAAATCCTCTTGTAACCATATGTGAATCATTCAGCTTGTTAAATCTAATTACAGATCCAACTAGAGTCACTCAAGCAACACCTACCCTTATTGATCCCATCTTGGTTAGTTCTGCCTTTTCTACATGTGAAAGTGGGGTTATCAGTGTTGATCAACATCTTAGTGACCACAGTGCCACTTATACATTTATTCCTGTACATTTTAGATGCAAAACCTACATCTTTTCACCGTACCATTTGGTTATATAAAAATGCAGATTTTGCTGAATTAAACAATAAAATAACTGATGTAGATTTGGATTATATAATTAACACTCCAGAAAATATAGATAAATCTTGTTCCATATTTACACAAACTTTAATGAAACTTATAGAACAATGTATACCTCACAAACAAATTACTATTCATCCAAGAGACAAACCTTGGTTAGATTCAGCATTAAGAAGTCAAATTCGTCTCAGAGACAAATTAAGACAAAAAGCCCAATCTACTCATACCTCCAGATTTTATAATATGTACAAAGCAGCACGGAACAAGGTGTGTAATATGAAAAACACATGCTATTTCAAACTATTATAATAATATAGAGTGTAAAATTACTGATGCATCTATCAACAAGCAGAAACTTTACTGGAAAATGTTTAAACAGCTTATATCACACAAGTCATCATCATCAGAAATTCCTCCATTACAATCCACAAATACTGATGGCAGCTCATCAATCTCATACTCGAACTCTGATAAGGTTAATGCTCTAAAAAAAATGTATCAATATCAACAATAGAAGAACCTAATACTGTCCTTAATCCGTTTCCACAACAAACTTTCTCTCTTACAGATATTCATATAGATCAGGATGAGGTTGAAGACGTTTTAAAAACTCTTGATATAAATAAAGCTGTTGGTCCAGACTCAATTAATAATAGGATGCTAAAAAAAATACAGCTTCCTCTGTCTGTAAACCTTTGTAAATCCTCTTTAACAGATCTCTTTCAGAAAACTCCTTCCCTAGTATGTGGAAATTAGCAAATGTTGTACCTTTATTTAAGAAAGATAATCCCAGTATGGTTTCAAACTATAGACCAATATCTCTGCTAAGTTGTATCAGTAAGGTGTTGGAACGTTTAGTTTTTAAGAATATTTATAACTTCACACCAATAATTTATTTTACAAATATCAATTAGGGTTCTTACCAGGCCACTCCACCGTATTCCAACTTTTGGAAATCTACCATAGTATTGTCTCTGCTCTGGACAACCAACAAGACTGTTGTATAGTCTTTTGTGATCTATCGAAAGCTTTTGATAGGGTATGGCATAGGGGATTGTTGTACAAATTAGAAAAATATGGTGTAACAGGTAATATTTTGAATTGGTTAAAAAGCTACTTATTAGATAGAAAACAAAGAGTTGTTTATAGATCCTGTCAATCAAACTCACTTAACCTATCAGCAGGAGTGCCCCAAGGGTCATTACTGGGTCCTATCTTATTTCTTATATATGTAAATGATATTGCTGAAAATATGATAAGTATAAGCAGATTATTCGCTGATGACACATCCTTGGTTAAATAATCTGCAACCACCGGATAGATGGAAACTTGTATAAATCATGATATATCTATTTTGGAAAATTGGTCAAAGAAATGGTTAATGAAATTCAATGCAGAAAAAACAAAGATGATCTTTATTTCAAAAAGACGAAATACTACATTACCTGATATTGTATTTCATAAACATCTAGGTCTTAATTTCTCCAGTGATGGCAAATGGTCATACCATATTGACTGTATTGCCAAGTCAGCATACAAAAAACTAGTATTACTCAAAAAACTTAAATATTCGGGTTCTAGATATTCTTTATCTGTTCTTTATAAAACATATATTCGTCCCTTATTGGAGTACGCATCGGTAGTCTGGGATGGATGTTCTCAACAAGACTCTGAAAAACTTGAAAGAGTTCAGTTACTTGCAGCTCGAGTAGTTACCGGCCTACCTGTATATGCATCAAGAGAATCGCTTTACTTTGAGACGGGATAGGAACTCTTATCCGAACGTCGTAAACATATTAAGCTATCAACCCTTTTCAAAATAAAAAAACGATATGACACCAAATTATCTGGTGGAAATCCTTCCTAGTCTCCGTCCTGAAACATCAACATATGCTACTCGTAACCAAGACGTTTTTACTATCCCACGATGTAGGACAGAACTTTTTAGAAAATCATGCATACCATCATCTGTAACACAATGGAATTCCCTCAATTCCTGTATAAAGTCAACCCATTCTCTTGTTGCATTTAAAAACTGTTTCAAACATGATGTTGTTTCTATTCCAAAATTTTCTTTATGTTTATGTGGAGAAGTAGAAAATGTACATCACTATTTCTATACATGTCCAAATTACTCAACTGTAAGAAATCACCTGGTAAGAAATCTTAGGAACTTAAATTTTCCAGAGATCCACACAGACAAACACACTTCTCTGGGGTAATCATGATCTCACTTTTGAACAAAACAGTAAAACCTTTAACTATGTATGTAAGTACATTAAGGATACAAACCGCTTCTAGTGAGTAGTCTTAATTACAACAATTACATCATGTTCGAAGAATTGAATTTTCTTTATCTGTGTGAAAACCTCGTTTAATTCTCTATGAGTAGGTCGGGGTACAGAGAAACAGTCGTCAACAACCTATTTTAATAATTCAACTTAAATTTAAAAAAATAAAATAAAAAATGAAATGTACATGTTAAGACAGCTATGATGTACGTAAACTGTATTTAAGTTAGGAGAGGGCTTAATTAAGTTGTAAGAACTTGTGCCCAGTCCTTTTTGTCATTTTCAAGGCAATACAAATATGTTTAAACCAAGGTGAAGTTTATGTTGTTGTTCAATATAGACATTAAAGAATCTTTATAACTTATAAATATATAATCTGAAACTAATAAGTGTCTGATCTGTAATTTATTATTATCATTTTTTTTTTACTAATAATTGTTATCTTACTTGTAACTAAATTGCATCTTATCTGTAATTTATAAGTAGCTTATCTGTAATTAATTAGTATCTATTATGTAACTGCTAGTAATTAATATCTAATATGTATTTAATTAGTGTCATTTCTGTATATACTAGTAATCAGTATCTAATCTGTAAAAATAAATGTAAGAAACACATTTGATTGCAAAATTTGGTAATAGTTCCATCATGCAAAAATATATTTACGCAGCACCATACAGCTGTTCCATCCTCCTATGGCTCATCGTCGATGCTAGGGACCAAAAAGGAGGAAATTCAAGTTGGTCTATACTACATTTGAAATGGTTCATTAGACTTTGAGACTTCGTGAGAACGAAACAACAAATTGATTCTGACATTTTTTCTTACCTCACTTTACTCAGATTGCATCTATAGTTTTATTTATTAGAGTCAAATGTAATCAGATTTGTAAAAAAAATATATAAACGATAATCTAGTTCATTTCTGACTCTGACTATGACCATGATAACGCAAACTTTAATTATTTCACAGTATTTCGAGACACCATCCTGGATTCTCTGTGCGCTGTAAGTGTGGACCCAGCATGTGACAGCACAACAGGACATAGTTTATTTTCTACACCGGCTTCATCTTATAGCGCATGCGTAAAGCCGAATCCAAACTCAGATGTTTCGATGTTTGAGGAAAATATACACGACACACTGTCTTTCGTAAACCCGGTGGAGATCGACATGTTCGGTATCCGGGTTCATCGTTTCCATCTGGACACAAGTAAGATTTTTCTAGTCATAAATCTATATTTGTCTCTTCCTTTTCAAATCATAATTTAACTCGACGTTCTATTTATAGCTGCAGTAAAATTGTCATACCTTATCTTCAGCAGGTAGGGCGTAAGAATTGTACCTGCTGCCCCCAATTGCATGATCGGAAGAGGCGACTAAATTTGGGACCTTATCTCTTCTCTCCTTTCTAAATAACTTTCTTCTTCCTAATGTCTCCCTTGACAATGCCTCACTTTCGGCCATTTGTTGAGCGTTCGCCCCTGTGAGGAAGGTTTTGGGTTCTGTCCCCTGGCCGAGACCTACCAAAGTCTTTAAAAATGGTAGTTTCTCCTCCTGCTTAACGCTCAGCAAATTAAGAGTGGGACGTCTGGTTTGCCCGTTGTCAGTATAATGTGACCGGGTGGGGCGTCCTGCTGGGTGTCTTCGGCAGTATGTCTCAGTGAGGTAGCACTATAAAGTCGGCATCAGTTCCGCGCTATCACAAGGAGACAAACACGAACATATCGCAGCCTCCCAAAATACACACACATACACTACACGCATGCATCTTGCACACAGGGGAGGCCGTCCTTAAATGACCTTAGCTGTTAATAGGACGTTAAACAAAATCAAACAAACAAACAAACAAGCTCCAATAGACACTTCTGTAGAAAATAGAGAAACAATGCTAATATAACGCAATTTTGAACTGAAATTAACCATTTGACATATATGATAGAATGCATGTAGCACATGATGTACTTACGTTTGAACGGAAATATGTTACATACCATCACCTTACATGTTTTTATATTAAAAAACAAAATAGGCACGGATATTTGCAGATTATTTACAGATGTCATATTCTATTCTATGGCCGACAGATTTTAGTAGAGCAAGACACTAACAAATTCTTCAGGGTGAGTTATCGGCAGTAAATGGATGTACATCCGAACTATATCTTGGTTTATTATTAAGAGTGACATAATATAAATACTGTCTGCCTTTTACAGATAAGTACAACACGTCCATTATGTACCCGTGCCTGATACATAACGCCACATCATTACTGCAGTTCCCTGCAATCATCAGTGAACCCAATGCTGGTCCATGCTCTGCTGAATCGCTGAGTTCTTTAGACTCATTTGTAAGTAGTGTAGTTTGTGTGTCACAGCATCTGCTAAAAGAAAATATATTCCAATCGTTATTTGGGTCTCAAATACGATGACACATACTCCTATACATTTTATACTGTTTTGAAACTGTTTGCATTTTACACCTCGCGTTGCAAATCTTCCACTAATTGGGTTTCATCGCATAGTCGTTTTATGGACGAGAACGCAAATATTTTCGATAACAATCAATATTTACTTTTTAAAACAACTGCAGCAGGTCTGTATATTCGTACTCGAAAAAGAGAAACATCAAACCAGTGTTATGATATGTATTGCTTCGACTATCTCTATCATACATTTCGTGGTACGAAATTTTGGTGTGGTCTGGAGCAGAACCCATGTTATGTCCAAAATATCGTAATGTGTCGTATCGAAACCGCTGTTTCGTGAAGATAGTAGCCACTTTGCGGAATAATTTATCTTCTGCTATAAGAAGAATGACAATCTTGGCCAAATTCAAGAAGAATGTTAAAACTAGCCTGTTTACGTTTGCATTTTATTCTATTTTATACGCTATTTATTTACCTTTTATAGGTTGACGTTGAACCCTTCACTGGAAAAGTGTGGCGGAAAGTCACCAGGCTTCAGACAAACGCGCTGTTGCAGGCCAATGACGTCAACGCTCGTGGCGTGCTTCCATACAATGTGTCTGTGAACGATGATCCTTTCCCTATCTACTGGAGGGAAACAGTGATACACCTTACGGAAGCCGCCAGTAACCACCACCACGAAAAAGTAATACTTTATAATGATAGTTTCCTTAATCAAAGATCATGCTTGTAGTTTACCACATAATATGTGAACGGTAGTTATGATACATTGCTCTGCCATAAAAGTGAAAGCTATTATCCAAATCTGATGTTAAGTTATGAAAGCTATCAGTTTTTATTAAGAAGTTAATCCTTTGAAATATAGGGACTTTCACGGGTTTAAGGGTGAGTTTATTGTAAAGGAGTTTTCAATTGCTTGTTATGTCACGCCTAACACTTATTATTCTCACAAAGACTTTTAGCCTTAATAACCGCTGTCACTTTTTAACAAGTATGTAGTCGATTGAAAAAAGAAGAATGTACTCGGGTCAATTCTTCATTATATTTAATACTGATTTGTCGGTTTACATACACAAATCTGATCACGTCTTTCTGTATGCATGTAGATAACATTAATCCATATTTGTTGCTAGGTCACCAAACTAATGGACGCTTCCTGTGGTGGATTAGTCAGCCTCAGCATCATATCTTTGATCGTTGTCATCATCAGTGTTTTTATTATCATTAGACCCCATCGGATGCTAAGACGGGTGGCTCCAGTCCCGGAAGTAGCGGAAGACGACGTCTCACATATAACTAACAACAACAACAACAACAACTGATGGCTTAATATTGTTTGTATTTGAAACACAATGGTTGCTGTATCACTATTATAACGGTATTTTTCTTGGTTCAAATTTGTGGCATTATTCTGGAAATACACATTTAATTTTATGCAAGTCCGGTTTATGCAAGTCTGATTTTCTTGCTTTCCGGTCACTATTCCGAGGATGTTGAGGAAACGTAAATTGCAATCCTGAATATTAATTACAAGTCTAGTTGTCTCAGTGTCATACTCCGGTCGGCAGTTTTGGAGATGTGTTCCGATTCTCTCATTTAAAAAAATGATTTATTATGAAATATAGTCACATTGGATCACAATCTTTTTCATTTTGATGTACATTGTCTAGGGCATTACATGCAGTTTCTGCTTCTTATTTGTGCTGTTTAAATATATTGTATAAAATAAAGTATTTTTAATTTGATCATGTCAAAATTAGCAGGTGAAAATCATCCATAACATATTTTTATATCGGTTTAAGTGTTGTGTGCGTTCTCTATTTTCGTACAAATTTTATGAGCCCCCGTCTGTGATATTTCATTGTGATTGTATACATCAAATTTTTCTTTGATCGTTTAAATAGAATTACAATAAAACTAAAACCATAGCCATGTGTTTTTTCGTTAGAAATTTTAAGTCAAATATACTTTACACGGTACATATACCCAACCAAAACCTCTGAAGTGGCTGATTAGAAGTTACCTTAACCGTCATGTTGTTTTTGAATAAGTTTATCATTTATTTTACTTAAAAGTAGCATGTTTTAAGTTTTGACGAATTTTAAAGCTTGTTTGTAATTATAAGATTATGCAAAGGGAATCTAATGATGTATCTATTATATATATGTTACATTCCAGAGTTAGCTCACGCGAAACAGTGCAGACTTAACATCGTCTTCTTTTGTTTTTAATTGGAAGGATTGGTGTGATAGTGTTTACTGTTTTGTTTGATTATTTAATCCAAGAGTTGTTATGGTAGCTGACTTTTTTTATAAGAATGTGTTTGAATAACTTTCTGTTGAACGACTAGTTCACAAGAGGTAAAGTAAAAGTAAAGGTTTTTCGTTGTGACACTGAGCTAAGGATCTTTGTCCAACTGCCCTGTGGTATTTCCTATACACAGTAACCTCCCCTTACCGTCGTTTAGATATACATTTTTCTTCCACTGACCAGGTAGGTAACCCAATTGGTTAGAGCGATAGTACATTAATCTGAATAATTGTTCGAACCCTGGTCTAACCACGCTTAATTTTAAAACTCAGTTTATTACATTTTCTTTATTTAATCTTCATTATTTTTCAAAGGTATTCTCGCAAGGTATGGGTTTCTTTTCGGAAATGATTTGTCAGAGTTATAGTGAGGCCAAGAAAAACACTTTTCAATTATTTATTTCAGCTTTGGCAGTTGTACGGGGATCCTTTAACAGAAGAACTCTTTAAGGTCATCTTTCCATGCTATTACATATCTACAATTTCAATAAATGACGTTTTAAACTCCTGTTTTGAATTATTTTTATGAAAATGGAAAATCTTCAAGAGGAAAATCGTTCTATCAGTAAAAGTATTTAACATCAGAATATAACCAAATACAAAACTTAATTGATATTCTATATTTTAAAGTGTTTTTGTTTTAAACAAAATGCGTGTGTATCAAAACCCAAGAGATCAAGATCCTTGCGGTGTTTGCAGTTTCATTTAGGAAGAATACGAACTTACTTCAAAATGAACCGGACCGAGATTCAAAGTGACTGTATATATAAACTGTTAGCCTCTGAGCGTTATTTATGCAGTGATCAGTGATGTTTGTTAGGAGATGTACATATTCTTACCTGCTGAAACAAATATGCATTGTGTACAAATTATAAATGCTCTGTGATATCTTAATATCAAGATACCGATAAAAACCTGTGTTATTATATAACAGCCTTATTTAAATAGCTTTCACTACAATTGCACTGAAACGAATGTTAGTGAAAAAACTGACGACTTACTCATATTTGTTTTCTAGATATATGCGCTTTCTAATGCTCACAATAAGAACATATATTGTAAAAGACAAGCGGAATCCAAAACAGATATTTGTTAGCATACCTAAACTTTTTGTTAAATGTCTTACATCTTTATTTGTTAAACTGGACGTGAACTACATAATTATATTGCACTTGATCGACAACATTGTGTCTGTAATGCTCTAAAGACTTTTTTTTATCACTGGGCTACGGATAAATTCAAGGTTACACCAAAATACAAAATGTCTTAATCTGATGTTACAGAAAGGGAAACCAAGCGTTGAAGTAGACTAAAGCATTGACATCTGACTTCAGTGACTTTTAAAAATGATCTATAGTGCTGTAGACACATGTCTGCAGATGCCGTGTATGGGAGACAAATATTCTCCAACCACAATATTGATGATGTCATACGTTATCGTGTACGTTTACTATGACGTAACGATTACTGTTTCTCTTCCAAATAATCTAGTGAAGTACCTCTGAAGAGGGTGATCTGATCTGAGAAAAAGCTATTTACATATTGTCAATAGTGATCTATATCAATATATAATAACACTGTGTCGACGTGATGCGTATCGGTAAGCAAAGTGACATATAATTCCACTAAGCCAAGTGCACAGATGGTTGTAGTTTTTTTTATCAACGAGATATTGTAATAGATTAGTTAATGATTCATAACAACATAACACAAACAACAAAATACACTGTAGCCTTGGATAATTTCTGGCCGCAGTTACGATTTACGAAATACTTCAAATTCAGATTATAAAAAGGACCCCCCCAACCTGGCCAACACTAGCACGAACATAGGCCTATATCCCCTTGCGAAAGTCCAAATCACCTTCAGCGTTGTTGTGGTGAACCAGTCCCTCTGAATCTTTTCCTTGTAAACAGCATAGATCCAGAAATATCATGTGGACAACAAACACAACAGCAGAGTACTGTCCAGTAATTATTTAAATGGTGTAGTTGGGGCTGTGGGTGGGTAAATTGTTCAACAGGATTCGAGCAGCCACATCCTGGACAGAGATATTCAGGGGCATGGATACGCTTAAAATTCATAAGCGCAAAATTAGTAAATAAAGCGTCTAGCTTAGTTAAGATTTTCATTTTAACTAAACTGGTGTTATCATATAATTGATAAACCTTATTATAATGCACATGTCACTAAAAACAAGCAATGTAGATCATTGACAAAGATGAAGTCAACGATGTAGCACAAGTGTATTTTGTTGATATTAAATAAAGAAAACAAACGTGGGAATTTGTTTGAGGATGTTTCTGGTTTTAGATATCTAAGCAGAATTCTTTGGAACAAGAACAATGTGCATAACATTATTAGTGATATTTAATAGAAATTATAAAATAGTCTGTTTTGAATTATTGGCAAGGTTTCTATGTTTTAATAGATTTTGGTATTTGATATTGATTACTTTTTGAATCAATCTCTGTTGTTTGAGTTTTTAATAGTATTTTTCTGAAAGTCAACAGTATCGAAATTAAGATATAAAATTTTGAGAAAAGATATCACCAATTAAATTTACAGTTCGATGACACTGCCCAGAAATAAACATTTTCTCTGAATACGTCTGAAAGATACCAATTGTTAGCGGCAAACCTCGAATGTCAATATACATGGTGTATTACCTACATAATGATCTTACATCTGTTTTGATCGTTTTGTTTCTCCGTACAATATAGAGTTTGAATAATGAGTAGATACTCAGAATTGTTCCTCTCCACGGAAATCTTTAGTAAAAGGCGAAAGATGTATTCGTGGTTTTGAGGAGAAACCAGATCAAATAGCCAACACCATGTTTTAGGTCATAAGTTATATTTTGAATCATTTGAATCGGTGCGTCGTTACAAAGACAGCTGATTTCCTTCTTTGTTTTTCAATTTTACCAAAAAATACACCATATTTCAACGATATCATGTAAAAGGGTGTTTTAAACATTGTTAAAAATAACGTTAACTAAAAGGTGACGATTGTTTAACGTTTTGTCTCACGATTTCCAATTTCCTTTGTTATAAACGTTTCGGGAACGTTTCGTAATCATATTTGATGTTGGAAAGAGAGACGCAAGATGAATGTCTGATGTTTTGTCTTTAAATTGGGACTTATTAAGGAAATATTATCAGAAGAATTACATTTTTAAAAGTATTTAATAACCGACAATAATTTTACGTGATGAATCCTAA